CAGGTCAGCGAAAATCTAAGAAAAGCCGCCTGAATAAGATTCCTGATCCTCATTTTCATGAAGAAGTTCAGGATGATGCAACCATGGAAGAGAAGAAAGAGGCGGTGGAGAAAATAAAAGAGGTCAGAGAGGATGATGGAGAGAAGAAATTGGAGGCTGAAGTCCAAGAATCTTTTCCATCTGAAGTAGTTGTTGAAAAGGATACAACAAAAGCTAACAATACCTATGAGTTGCATACTTCACCTTTGAAGTTGCTTGGAGAGCTTACAGGAGATCCAGGTATTGGCTTTTATCAACTACGCTTCAGGGAAACTCATGCAAGATTGCTGAATCATGTTTGTTTCAGAAAAGGTGAGATTTCCCATCCTCATTATCAGTCAAGGATCAACGAGAATGATTTTGTTCGATCCATTCAAAATGTCTGTCCAGTACCTCCACCTGATTGTTATGAACATGAACCAAGGCATGATTTGAAGAGATTCTTCATCAATGATGACCGCATCATCTATTTGGATGGCAGGTATCAAGTCGATCCAAAGGCCCTTGAAAGGGCAGGTCATGCTCGAGAAGAATTGGAGGATACGAAAAAGGAACTCAAGAAGGAACTGGAATCATATGGTCCCAAGGGACCCAGTTGGGACTTTGTCACCTTCTATGAAGAGCTGTGCAGAAGGTTCCTCAAGGGAAGAATAGAAGAACCATATGGAACTAATTTATTGGCCAGCTCAGAGTCCTTGACATTTTTATCCTGGAACTATGGCAACATGGTTCGTGGTCAGAAGTACACCACACCAAGGTTTCTCCAAGGACTTGATGGTGCAATGAGGCCACGCAAACAGAGCGCCATGTCACTTCAGAATGAGCAATTTGAGAACAACCTTTTCTTCAACATGCTCTTCTTTTTACGTGCACATGTCGTGATTCTCCAGGAAGCTCATCTTCTTGTTCCTGCCAAGGAATTTATTGAGCAAAAGAATTGGACAGTTTGTTTCAATGATTGGGAGAATCTTGCAGTGATGGCTAGATTGGCACCAGGTGGATATGTTAAGATCATTGCTGGACATGATCAAGAACTTGGTCACTGTGAACAGCGTGATGTAACTTGGGCTATCTACGAGATTTGTTTTGGAGAAACAAGGCCTCGTCAAGATTTCAAGGATGCAGACTTTGAATTTGATGACTATGGTCCTGAAGACAAGCGTGTTCCACTTACTCGAGCGAACATGCATACCATCAGAGTCTGTAATTATCATGTTGATACACACTGTGCTGTGGATGCCCACCTACTGACAGGAGAACAGACAGCACTGATGCTTTACGAGTGTTTTGTCTATGAGGTGGACATCATTTCTGGTGATGCAAATAGTTTGGCCTACAGAATGTCTGGGTACAAAAGGCAGCCAATGGCTAACTACTATTACAGCACCATGCAGCATTGGATCCGCAGGTTTTCAGAAGCCCGTGTAAAAGCAGATCCTGGTATCAAAGCACCTATTCCCAGAACTTTTTACAGTTCAACTTCACAGGTCCTCAAGAAGTGTGAAGATTACTTTGACAAACTCTGGGAAGAATACTCTACTGTTGAGAAAGAAGAATACCAAGGATCACAGCTTGGCGATACATGTTTGTCTACCATTGTTGAATGGGGTCATTCAATGAGTGTAGAGGAATATGAAAATTCCACAGTGAGCACGAAGGAGTTCATCTGTAATTTTTCAGAGAACTTTGCTATGATTGACACAGAGGTTATGTGCTCAAGGCCCACTGACGAGGACAGTCATGGTCCAATGTTTATTTCACTCAGACCAGCTTCCTTTTCATCTGGAGACAGAAGACAGTATCGCATGGGAGCAACGCTTCAAGAGGCGAACTTGCGGAGGAAGGAGAGACAAAAGCAGAATAGAAAGAAAGGAAGGCCGCCAACTTCTGATCAAGCAACTTCATCGTTTGCAGCGGCATAATTCCTGAGCGAAGGCTGAAATTTAAATGATGGCTAGGAAGTGAAGATACTTCTGGTTACAGTTGATACTTTGCTTCCAGGCTTGACTTTAAGTTGCCAGGCTGAAGTTTTAATAAATTCTGGTTTGCAATGAGGAGAAACTTTTTATCAAAGAAGATACTCCTGCATTCCAGGTTTATACGCTTTAGCATGCAGATAGGTATGGACAGTTTTGCATAACTGATGATATCTATCACAGCCGCTTTTTCTGAGATGACCTCTAATGGACAACCAGTCATGGTTGATGATTAAGTCATTTCATGATTTGCAATTGTAGTGCAAGTTTTGTACATACATTTGCCGGTATCTCCTTCTTGTGTTTTTGATGTGAATGTGAAAGAGAGTCCTTTTGATGCAGTTTATTTTGTCTGTGAATGAAAGCGGTCGAGACCACGTCACGAGAAGATTATTCCTCGGACCGTACGCTCCTTGCATTTTGCAAGGCATCTTAATTCATTGCATTGTGCGGTCTTGAAATTTTAGTTCTTTGTTACGCGAGTGTCGTTTGATTCTTTTATAGGTCTCTGTAGAGAAAAAGCCGCTTTCCCTTTTAGTTTGATTTAGCTCAGGCCATAAAGAGCTAGTGAGCGCCGGTACATGGTATCTCCGCCTGCGAAAGGTACAGTCTCCAGCCGAGGTACATTATCGTTTTGATTTTGTACTTGAGGTGAGTCAGCTATTGCTCCCTCACTGTATTTAGTAACTATGAGATTACCTTCTCTGAAGTGTGAAACACACCGGATTAGGTAAGTACATGGCACCGTAGTTTTCTTTTAAGTTGTCAGAGCTAGCTGGACTGTTTTAGCCTTGCAGTAGAAAAAGAGTATGCGACATACGCAATCAGCTAGAAGTGGACATGAATCTTGTGCCTGCTGAAAAGTAGAGCCTACCTGTACAGGGTTCCACTCCAACAGCTGATATAGTGTGTCCATGCTTGACTGCTTCAAGGCTCAAGAGAGGGTCAATGGACCTAAAGAGCAAGAGGATAAGACTCTGCGCATAAAAGACACTAGCGGTCTGCACCTCTACCGTGTACGCCCTAGTCACTCTTT